AGTGAAAATACTTGGCAGGGAACCATAGTTGCTGCAAACAATGAACCTTTGAACATAAATAAGCAATGTGAAACTTTGATTAAGATAAAATCATTTACCTGGAAACAAACATTTTTAGTGGTTGAGTTAAAATATTTTGACATGATTTTAGGATACCCTTTTATGTGTGCAAGCAAGTTAAACCTAAATATGGATCGACAAATGGGTTATTTTACATTTAAACCTGAAGATGAAATTAAGTTAATTCCAAGTACAAACCTGAGTGAATTAAGCTTAAGTAGTATTAAAGTAGGAGATGTTGAAATGTGTGAAGAAGCTGAGAAGTTAATTAAGAATTTTCCTACTGTTTTTACGGATAAGATAGGATCAGCACTTGATTTGGAAATTGAGCTTAAAGTGACGGATGATAAACCTGTTAGTATACGCCCTTATTTTTTAAGTCCACCCAAAGTAGAGAAGATGAAAGCTATAATTGATGACTGGATAAAACAAGATGTCGCGGAAGTTTCCACTAGTCCGTATAGCGCCCCTGCATTTTTGACTCAAGATGACAGACTTGTAATTAACTACTCTGAACTCAATAAGAAGTTAATCAATGTAGATTACCCGCTAGGAGATATGCAGAATATGTATCAGCATCTAAAAGGAGCTAGATATTTTACAGTCATAGATTTAAACAAAGCATTTTTACAATGTCCCATAGCTTTAGAATCCAGAGATTTAACATCTTTTAGTACAATTTTTGGTAAATTCCGTATGAAGAGAATTCCATTTGGATTGAAAATAGGCAGTAGCGTACTATCACATTATTTGGACAAAATATTTAATGACATCAAATTTCAGTATATGATTAACTTTTGTGACGATATAGTAGTATATAGCCCTGATAAGAGAAACCATATTGAGCACGTTACAGAAGTGATTAAGAGATTAGCAAAACACGGACTTACGGTAAATCCACAAAAAGTCAAATTCTTTTGTAAGGAAATAAGTTTTTTAGGACATATTATTAAACAAGATAGCATCACAATAGATCCCGAGCGAACTAACTCATTAATGAAATTTCCTGCTCCAAAAACTGTGAGACAAGTGCGACAGTTTATAGGAATGTGTGGTTATTGGTCTAGATATATTCCTAAATATGCTGAAATATGTTTACCTCTGTTTGGGCTGAAGAAGAAAGGTGTAAAATTTAAATGGAACGAGGAGTGTCAAAATGCATTTGAAACCTTAAAGAGTAAGATAGCAAATCCGCCTATACTACAAATGGCCGATTTTTCTAAAGAATTCGAGTTGCATACCGACGCAAGCGACCTTGCAGCTGCTGGTGTTTTATTGCAAAGAAATGAGGAGGGGAATTTAATGCCTATTGCTTACTATTCGAAGAAATTCACACCTACTGAGATGCGTTATAGCACTTACGAAAAGGAAGCTTATAGTGTAATATTGTGTGTAGAGAAATGGCATCAATTCTTGGAAGTAAGAAGTTTTAAATTAGTTACTGATTGTCAAGGTCTTAGTTTCATGCTCAAATCTCGAAAAAGCCGTGGAAGATTGTCTAGATGGTTTGAAAGGTTGTTTAGTCTTCCATTCACAGTTGAACATGTAAAAGGTTCGGAGAATATAATAGCTGATGCGTTATCACGTATGTTTAGTGGAGAGAAAGAGAGTGAGACGGAAATTCACGAAACTAATCTGTTAAGCAATATCAACAATGAAGTCTATTTTTGTAATGTGTTAAATGAAATACCATTGGATCTTAAGGACATTAAAGTACATCAAGAGAGCGATGAAGAGTGTAAGAAAATCATTGAAAGCATCAAGAATAAGACTAATAATGAAAATTATACCCTGAAAAATGAAGTTTTATTGTTTAAAAAGAAGATTTATTTGCCCAAGAAACTGTTTAGTGTAATATTCGCATTCTATCACAACTCATTAATTGGTGGTCATATGGGAATTTTTAGGACTCAAAGTAAAGTAAATGAAAGTTTTCACCATCCTGAATTAAATGAATTCGTAAAAGGTAAAGTCCGTGAATGTAAGATCTGTCTGATGTCTAAGTCGGAACAACGTAAGTTTGAAGGTCGACTGATATCTGTTCCTGTAACTCAAGCTCTAAACACTGTGTTTATTGACCTAGCTGGACCGTTTCCCCGATCAAATAAACTCAATCAGTACATTTTAATTGTGGTTGATGCATTTACCCGTTTTGTATGGTTGTACCCTCTGAAGGATTGCAAGACAAAATTCATCATAGAAAAATTGAAGATAATTTTTGATAGTTTCTCAGTACCCCGAATACTTGTGTCTGATAATGCGAGTTATTTTACATCCAAGGAATTTAAGAAATTCATGTTCAATAACTATGTGGAACACAGAAAGCTAGCTGCGTACAGAGCAAACGGAAATTTGTCGGAACGATATTTGAGGGAGACTAATAATGCTTTACGGAGTTTTTATGGTAATCAACATGATAAATGGGATTCAAATCTGGGACTGATTGCCACAAGTTTGAATACTGCTGTAAATAGTTCGACTAAATCAACTGCTTTTGGTTTAATGTTTGCCCATCCTTGTAACAATGCACTGACAAACTTATGGAATGTTAATGACATTATTTCGGAGAAGTTAACTCCTGATCAAAGGAGGGAAAATTTGGAGAAAGCCATATATAACGTCAGAAGAAGCATTGCCAGAAATCAAAGAAGGGAGAGATATAGCTATCCTCGGAGAAACCATCAATTTAAGTTGAATATGGAAGTGTACATCAAGACACATTATTTAAGTAATGCAGCGAATAAATTCAGCAAGAAGTTAGCACCTAGATACGTTGGACCTTACGTAATACGCTATTTTCTGAGTGATTCAACAGTACTAGTACAAAATCCTAGCAAGTTAGAAGACGTGAAGAAAATTCATATAATTGATTTAAAGAAGAGTTAAGTAGTGAAGAGGACCAAAAGTAACCAATGTATTGATGGAAGAGGAAATGTGAAAAATGGAATTAAATGGAAGATTACGGAAGACTGAAGCTAAATTGGTCTTTATGAAATGTCTGTAAAGTAGAAGTTAGATTTGTTTAGTTGAAATATTAATTAGTTAAGGGATTTTAGCAAGCTAAGAGGGAATGTGAAATTTTGTAAATTAGTACTGTGGGAGTTGTTTTAGGTTCTTAAGAATTTTTCAAAGTTTTAAAGTGTTTTTAGTAAGAGAGTGTATAAATGTGTATGTATTGGTGAATGTATGAGTATTTGTGGCAGCAAAAGGTAGTATGAATCTGTATGAATCTAAAATGGAGTCTGAACGTAGTGTATGAGTGGGATTTTTTACTAAAGGACGCACAATAACATTTTGATTAATTTTGCACTTGTAAACAGGGAAAATAACACAGAACACAAAACACTTCACACGAAACACACGAGGGAACATAAAAACAGGGAATATAACACACTGGGATAAATAAATTAAGGGAAAACTAAAGAAAAACACAGCACACGCAAACGACATAACTAAACTAAACTGGAGAAGTGAAAGTTATTTGTCTTGTCTGGAGTTGATGTTGGGAGGGGTCAGTGAACTGTGAGCGGATGTGAAGAGTTCAAAAGAGATTTAAATAGGCTTGTTTAAGATCGCTTAAATAATTGGGGGTTTTAAAGAAAGGTTTTATTTTAAGGTATAAATTTTGTAAATAAGATTGATAATATTTGAATTGTCATAGGAAAATGAAATGGTTCAAAATGAAAAATTGTGTAAATAGAAGTTGTTGTTTTGAGTAGAAGGTTCTGTAAGGTGCTGTAAACGTGTGGAGGCTATTTGAACTAGGAGTTAGTGTTTGTAGAATTTGTTGATAGGTAGCGCTAGTTGAAATGTCAAACGGAGTTAGAGTTTTATTATTTGTTTTAAAAGGTTTGTTTATTTTCTTTTGTAGAGTTGTTGTTTTAAAAGGAAATGTAAATATTAATTTTGAGAAAGAGTGTATAATTTTGTTTATGTAATTTCAAGTTAAGGAGGGGAAATTTTGTACCGATGGTAGTTAGTTTTTAATTTGAAATAACAAAACAAAATATATCTTCCTTTTTATTTAATCGTTTGTTTTCATCTACTTTTAAAACTATTTTCAAGCTTAACATCTGTTCTAAAGCAATCTTGGTGTTTTCATCCAATTTTTCCTGTAATGCCTCGTAAGATTTATTAAAATTGGATTCCTGTGTTTTTTTGGTTCTCAAAAACTTCACTAATTTTTTTCATAATGTCATCTAAGGTTAGCTTACCATCCTCCACTTCTGCTTCAAATCTCAAGCTTTTGATCCTAGATTCTGAACAGTTTTGACACCTCCATGGTAATCCTTCCGAGGTTAAACACTCAACTTCACTTCTACTCATCTTGAGACATGCCGCATGAAAATCCCGTTTACAGTCATAACACCCCACTTTCAGTTGGTTTGTTTTAAGCGATTTTACACATATTCCGCAAGCTGACATTTTAAAAATGACATTAACACTCAAAGTTGAAAAACAAATTGAATTATGAAAATATACGATATTCGGCACATGTTGGACCTTGTAGGTTAGTTTCACTAGAGAGACCGGATCACTGATAACATACGATGTTTCTTATCTGAACGCTGACCCATTTGGAATGAAAATAAGAGGTCTCAGGTTTTAAAAGTTCTTGAAGATTCTGTTTCCTCAAGAAAAATTGTTCTTCTAACCCCATACCTAGCTACCCAATTCTTAGTTTTTTTACTCTCTGGTATCAAATACTGCAGTTGTTTAGTAGCTCGAGAAGTCTGGTGGGCCCGTGGCTAAGCCAATAGCGTTACAGACTTTGAATCCAATGATGATCTATGCAGATGAAAAGTGAAATTATGATTCAACTATATTATTATTCTATGGTAGTATGATCACTGATACATTTTGCTTTATTCAGGGACAAACATTACAACTTTTCATGCTTTCTGATAAATATTTTAAATGTGTTAAATGAGGAATCTCACCATAGGAATTGTTATGACTATATAGCTGATGATGACAGTGACTAGTGCCAAAGTCTGGGCTACACTGCGGCTCCGGTCAATCTTACTGGATGCCGTGGCAACACAGCTCGGAATACACTACAAAAGAATTCATGTACTGTATATTTCATTAAGTTGATAAATAATAGTATCATAAAAACATTATGTTGTTTCTATCCAAGGTTTATCTATTTTACTTGAGCTCCTGTCAAAAAACATAATATTATAGTTCTTGGGCTTAATTACATAATTTTTCAAATAATATAATCCTTTTTAACTTTCCTGTCAGGGTCACAACTCAACCTCTTTACTTGAGCTCACGAGGGAAATCTCTTGCCCATGATGAACTACATGCTATTTGTCATACTCCAGAAGCAGTCAGCTAATACTTCACAAAACTAGCACTTCAAAACCTTAAACAATTTACAACAACAAATTTTGGGGCGTGTTACTACTAGCCTATAGTGGTAGCATTTGGACTTGGGTGCAAGAAAGATGCTTTTGATCACATGCATAACCACACAAAAATTTAGGGGGTTCTAAATCTTCCCTCAAAGCATTGAGTATACACAAAGTTATTTGATTTCTTTCATATAAACAACATTCCATCATCGTGGAGACCAAACAAAATATGAGTCTACCAATATGTAATATAATATATCGTTCTAAATGAAGCTGTTGGAGAGTTATTCTGATTTTTATATTGTTAAAGGATTGGATGAATTTTACCGTTTGATACAATAGTCTTCTTACCTTGCTATTTGTGTAATTCCAAGCCATCACAAGACAGCACACAAAAACAAACCAGAGAAGTCCGAGCCCACAACATACTAGCAGCTTGAAGGTTCTGTGCAATTTTCCACACTTGATTGATCAATATAACACAGCTAATGATAATTTTAACCAAATATCAAGTTTCTTTAAAAAAAATAACACTAGATAGGCATAAAAAATATCCTCCACTAAATTATGGAAAACTTTCAAGAATGCACCTAATCATAAGTCTGATAGGACACTTTTATGATCATTTTGTATTCTCAATTTCTCAGTGAAAAAGAGTGCAACGTAAAACCAATGTTACCATAAAAGGACTCAAACCAGCTAAAACTGAAAAGAAATTCAGCATTTAGAAGCATGTTATTAGTCACAAAATAGGATTTTTATACATCCAGAATAATATTTCAATGTTCAAACAATGTTAAAATAACAGGGATTTCAAAAAGGGATCATATGTTTGTAGCTTAAGCTGTCATAGGTAATTGAAGGGCATCTTATATTTCCTTCAATATTACACTTTACTAAATGAATAGCATAATTTCAATAAAAATCTTAGTCAACGATTAACTATAACTGTGGCTGTTATGTTATAGTAAGATATGTGAGCAATGTGAACTTTAATTTTACTAAAATAGATTGACATCTCATAGTAATTTTACCTTGGCATAACAATAAGCTGGACAACCATAATTGAGAGGAATACCACCAAAGATGTCAAGAAATACGACTGAAGCATGCGATCTGGCTCTTGGTTATACTGAAAGAACCAACAATTGAAGAATAAAAACATTGATCGTAAAATGAATGTGTCAAAAAGTATTTTGAAAATGAATTTTGAGATTATTTATTGAAAATATGGTACAAGAAAATAAACAAACATAGGATTGTTGGTCCAAATTGATTTAACGATAAGGCCTGTTTTGCCAGAAGCGGCTGGTGCATCTAAAGCTCAGATATGATAGCTCTGATGCCCACTGCTTTGCATTTATTCATGCAGGTTAGTATATTCTGCCAGATGTGTCTATTGCTACAGTCCCCAGCGTCTGTAACTGAGCCGCAAGTGTCTGTCGCGCAGTCGCTAGTGGCGACTGTTCTTAATTTTTTGAAGTTGTATTTTTAACCCAGTTTGTGAGTTAAGTGGCATGTCACAATCAAAGTGGGGATTTGAATAACAAAGGAGATGATAAATTTATTGAAGCCATTTCAGCACACTGCGCTTTTCTAGAACGGAGGTGATTTTCTATTAATAATTTATAATATCCCTCTTCAGGTCTCTTAAAAAACATAGAACACACTTCTGCACTGAGTTCGCACAACATTTCTAAAATCTCTTTATCATCCAATTCCTCAGTAAATAAATACTGACTTTTAAAGCTTATTTCACAAACAGCACTCATTTTCCCACCAAAGAAAACCACCCACTGATCAAATAATCACAAGGAACAGACACTTCTGGCAATATAGCCCCGAGCGATAGACACTGAGCGATTATCACTCTAGCGAAATGTTAATCCACCACTCATGTTTCCAACAATCTAATTAGTTGTGGTGCATGTAAAATGCACGCTTAGATGCCAGAGTCAGATGGGGTTTAGCAGGTAATTGTGAAATAAACTTTCTGGCATTAACGGCACTAGTGCATATACAAAATAGTTTTTTGAATATATTAGAGTTTTAAAATCTAGTCCCTTAAATGAATTTTAAAAAGTATCCCTTTGTATTCTCCAACGGTTGAAAATAAAAAACCAGTGTGATACAAAATGATAAAATTCAAAATTCATTTTATCACTCCTGGATGTTGCTCGGTTAATAGTAGTTTCAACTATTTGTTACCTTAAAATATCACGTGAAGTTGTCATACAATAAATATTTAGTGGTGACTGCAACATTTTCATGTATATCGTATTATCTGTACAATTATATGAATGTCAAAGTATTGTTGGACTAGAATAGCTTAAGAGTAAATTATATCTATACAGTTATGTTGTCCTAGGACGCTATAGTCACACCTTTGATTGTTTTTCACATTACTTCAGGCTAACCTAGGCTTCACCTAGGACACATCGGGTTGCTTCATTGCATGATTATCATATGGTAAAAATCACCTGCCATTAATGATTTGTTGGATTTGAACCCGGGACTAAAGTCCTGCGTTCTACCACCAGACCAGACCCATATACAGTATATCTATAATCTATAGACAAGTGACAATGACTATGAAACATGTAGTGTGTGACCACTTTAAAGGATATTGCAAGATAACCAGAACTAACCTTTTTCTCCATCTGTTTATCCTTGAACCTCAGACCTGTTGATTTACAATTTGTCTTCTTCAGTCGGCGAAAGCTACGAGCGTTAATGGAGTTGTACAAAGTAGCAATCAGCTCTCTCTCAATGTCTCTCTGTCTTTTTATCGGGTTGAATAACGGTAGACTGGCACAAAAAAGGCAAGTTCAAACAAAAGAGAGAAAACATTTCACGAGAATTTCAATCAAGGGAAATTAGATTTATTTATCAAACGAGTTTTCAAGCAAGTTTTAGCAAAAATTACACGTCAGACACTTGCTGTTTACAATATTCCCACTGAAGGAAAACTGGGATATTGGAGAAGCCCGAAATATTCTATATCTCGGAATGAGGTACTTGGTTGTCATAGTCTCAAACTTTGCTGCTACGTATCTTACTAATATTATAAATGTGAAAGTTTGTGTGTTTGTTTGTTTGTTTGTTTGTTTGTTTGTTTGTTTGAAGTTCAATCACGCATAAACCACTGGACGGATTGGGCTGAAATTTTGCATGATGATAACTTACACTCCCGATTAACATATAGGCATATTCTTATCTCAAAAATCCTTTCGGGCTCCGCCCCAGTGGCTCTGTAATTCCCCATGTTAACCTTATGAATATTCATATTTAAAGGGAATTAAAGAATTTAGTCAGCTGTTTCAACTAAAAAAGGTGGTTCTATGATATAGAAAAGCATTAAAAAGTTATAAGATTTACCAACAGGGTGCAGCACTATATTTTTTTTGCATTTATGAAAACTGCTAATTTGAACTAAGCAGCAACAAAAAACTGTGATACACGATGAGAACTGTCAAAGTAGGATTGTTTACAGTTATGTTTATGTTTTTCATTTCATGAATATTTTGTGATATTTTGCAAATTGTTGATAATTTATTTTTCTCTATTGTTTAGATGAAGTGGTAGAACATTATGGCTATGGTAGATGTGTAATACTATAGAATACTGTAAATTTAAAAAAGCAAATTTTATCAAACTGTTTCCTCCCTTATTGCAAACGCAAAGCTTGAGTATAACTGCAATAAGCATTTTATACTTATATTCCAACCCCGTACGAAGGACGGGTACTCTGCTAGTAATTTTAATAAAATCATTACCAGACAAATAATCTTCTCTGGATATTTCTAAAAAACTCATACTAGCACACCATGGCAGTTAAAAAACTTGTTTGAATTTATTATCAGAATTACAGTTCTATTTTTAAAATAATATCTATAATATATTTTGCGAGCAATGCTAAATTAAAAATCATTAAAAAATCCTATAGGGATAAAGGACTAACAAATAAAGGGGCCCATAAAGGGGTTAAAGGGGTTCATAAAGGGGTCTACTAAATATGAGGAAGAAGTACAGCAATTATTCTCTCAATGTAGACTACTAAAACAATCACATCAACTGGTACGGTAAATAACATACTAATTGATTTATAGGTACATACAATAGTGTAAGGTATCACAAAAAATTAGATTTTTTTATTTTTGTAATGTTGGTGGCCTCTTTTCTCACATTTGCACGTCCGCATAGGCCGCAGACCTGTGCATGGAAAACGTATCCTACACCTACAGAACAAGAGGAGATCCAGTAATGTACGAGATTGTACTGATAAAATGTTTATTGGGTGACACAAGGACGTGGAACCAATACATCACTGCCATAGATTTGTAGTCCGTCGCCAGAGCCGTCTTTATAAAATGCGAGGCCTGGGGCAATACATAATTGCGAGGCCTTGTTTAACCAAGCTCACTGGGGGGTCTGGGGGGTACGGAGTACCCCCCTGCTTAGGGGGGGGGGTCCGGGGGTAAAATTATGTAAAATTATACTTGTAAAGTCGTCATTTTAAGCACTTTGACGAAAAAAATGAATATTTTACACTCTGAAAATAGGCGTGAATATTATTGCTAATTACACATATTATTGTTCCAATTCCAAAGTGGATATCATAAATATTGCACACGAAATTCTTTACAATCATTAATAAAAAAAAATTAACACTTCTCCTTTACTGTGGATTGTGAATTGAATTAACAGTTTGTAAATTAAACAAAGTGGCGGGACGACAATTAATAGTAAAAGCTTATAGGCTATCTTGTTTATTTATTTTTTGTCAAGTTAGGTTTATTGTGTTTTCGGCAGTTGGTCTGTGGAGGGTGTTTTAAAGGTAAAAAATACTACATAAATAATTGTCAATGAGATACTTGCAAATTCGTCATTTTAAGCATTTTGATGAAACAAATGAATCTTTTACTCTCTGTAAATGGCCGTAAATATTATAGCTAATTGCATACGGTATATTATTGTTCCAATTCCAAAGTGGATATCATAAATATTGTCCACGAAGTTCTTTACAATAATTAATAAAAAAATTAACACTTCTCTTCTCTGTGGATTGTCGTCCCATCACTTTGTAAATAGTAAATGCTCATAGGCTATCTTGTTTATGTACTTTTTGTCAAGATAGGTTTATTGTGTTTTCGGCAGTTGGTCTGTAATTGTGGTTTTAAAGGTAAAAAAATATTACCTATAATTGTCAATGAGTTTTTAATAATAAATTAAAAGAGGTAGTATCATTACAGTGTAATTGATTCACAGTATTACTTTTTACTTTAATGAAAAATATTGTCATAGGTTTATGTTTATTGCAAAATGCGAGTAGTTTACAGTCAGTCTTATCCACGCTGATTATCCATTCAATCCAGTAAACATTTACATCTGTAAATAAATTGAACTTAATTAATAATACAATAGAAGTTTAATGGCACCAGTACCAGTAAGAGTAAGCGTATGACTCACTCACATTCACCGGGGTGGCTGCCGCGAGGCTCGGGTTCCGTCATCGCCGCCGAGCTGTCAAACGTTGTTTGATATTCTTTTGTGTTTTAAATGTCGTTCGTAGGTTTTTAATCGATACAACAATTGATATAGGCGAATTCATAATAAATAAGACATATTTTAGGCACATGTATCTGTCTGTCCTTTATTTTTTTATTTTCATTCCAAAACATTAACTTATTTCTAGCGATAGTAAGGCATCGGCGGGCAGGCGAGGCCTTCTCCGGCGCAAGGCCTGGAGCGGCCGCTCCACTCGCTCCACCCTAAGGACGGCGCTGTCCGTCGCACAAGCAAAGATACACCTAAATAAATAAAAATTGTTTCAACTTACCTGGCATTCCCCTCAACTGCAGAAGTTTTGGATGGGCCATTGGAGTAATCTTGATTATGCCTTGACACATTCTGTTCTACTTTTACTTTTCCGGCCTAAAAACCATCGATTCATTAATAATGTGGCATACATATCCATAGTCAAAGTATAATGACATTTTGTTAATAATTTAATCGCATTAAAAAAATCATACGTGATTCATCTTTAGCTCACTGGAAGCTCCACCAACAGGGCTGTAGTTCATAATTTAGCCCTGGTTTAAATCTCAACGTTTCTTAACTCAGTATGAGATTGAGAAAAGATAAAATGTTTATGAACTGTCTGTATACGGTATTGAATTCTCTGATTGGAGATCTTACACACCCTGTAATAAATGTATCGGCACCAGTGATGCAACGAATAGTTCAGTCGAATAAATTAATATCGTTGTTTGAGCATTAAACTAATCACTGGTAGCATCCTATCCTCCACCTGGCCGGTATGATCCTTCTCTTCGGGTTCTGTTGCCCGCCACCTACCGGCTTCACCAAGTAACGTTATTACTTTTACTTATTAATGTCAACCTGCGGTAGTCTCAGTTACAATGCGATTTATTATTTCCCCCCGGTCTTACGAGTTTAAACAGTAGTGTTAATATAGAGAAGTGTTAATTCAATGAGTACAAACATTCCATTCCCGTTATACAACAATCAATGTGAATCTGATGATTTTTGCAGTTATATGATTCGTCAATCCACAAACAATCACATTAATATTTTGATCCAATTAGTGTATGTATTGTTAAGTAGAGTTTACATTAAAAAGATCCCACCAAAGTTCTAAAATATCGGTTTTGGGAAGGTTAAAATCTGATTAAAAGTATTTTGTATACTCATTAAGTTAAGCATTTTAATAAATTGAAATTGTATAAACATGTGTAAAGCAGTGGTTCTTAGTATACACATCCGATCATCTGATGATATCAAGAGATGATAAAGTAGTTTTACTACTACGAGGTTCCTATGTATCTCCTGCCTGGCCTACATAATTCTACTGCAATACAAATAACATTTTTGTAGCCAAGTGTTAAAGTAGCTTTTATTTAGTGAGTTTTAGCAATTAAAAAACTAACCAATGCAACAAGATTATAGAAGTATATGACAAATTTGTACTTACATAAGATGGACTTACAAAGAAAGTCTCGATTTCCTTCAGTGAGGATTCTCTTGTGAATCCATACGCTGGCTGTGTCATGTAGTTGTCCGAAGTTGCAAGCAAGTGGTTCTTCGTTGCCTCAGAGATATGCACCTTGCTGGGGGAAATTTGAAATCGAGATATTTTAAAAGGAAAATGTAAACTTTTTGAAAAAGATTTTACGCAAAATGAAAAGTAGGTTTAGTTTGCAATTTATAGATTGTCTTACCCCGGTACACCTCCAGACTCCATGTTGTTAGCAGTCTCTACGTCACTGCCCCAGATGTCAAACTGCCATTTCTTCAGCCCCAACACACCACATTGTAGCTTTCCAGTGTGTACACCAACCCTGATATCCACATCAATATCATACTTCTTCCTCACCTCACTGAAAAAGTACATACATACAGTAGTTAAATTTTTAAATGTAAGGTATTTTGATGAGAAATTCACATTTTGAATTCTCGGTCTTCCGGTGAGAGGTGCTTCAAGTCAGTATACACACTAAGTACAGCACTAAACTTTTCAATCCTCAGTGGCAAAGCTGAGGCACTCACCGGAATACAGAGAATTCAGTAAGTTCTTTTAAGTTTCAAGACTTAGTAACGGTATTCTTTATTTTTTACCTCAAAATATCTATTAGTGAGATCACAATGGAAAGCTGTTAGCAAAAACTCATCTGAATAAGTAGCCTACGGATAAATTGATTTCTGCTTGTTAATGTACTGCTTGTAAAATGTATATGTGTCCGTGTCGTGTCGTATTCGTGTTACGTGTTAATTTAATTGAACAATGACGAAGCCATCTGGTGAATAAAAACTTCACTAATACTCAGCTTATGATGACACTGTGTCGAAACATGTACGGAAGTGAAACTTACGATTCAATGAGCTATTGACGTAAGTAATCTATTCTTACAATTGTCAATTTCATTAGCACCAGAATCTTTGTTATAAAATCACATATAATTTCAGCACTACATCTAACCTCCATTACGAGGTTTGTCTTTTCTAATTTTCCAGCTGTAGGTACTTTCTTACTTGAACTAACCAGGTATGCAAAATTCCATAGAATCATTATTTAATATTTGTACATATTTGACATAATCACAGGTTATCAAAATGATGTGCAAGGAAAGTTACTGAAATGCCATGCCTCGTCTTCCTATAATCATCGTTTACCCATCATAACCTGCTTGGAGAGAGTTGTCACAATGATGAACTCACTGCATGACGTAGATCATGTCTAGCCCCATGTCGACGCAGCAGCTCGCGTGGAAGTTGTCAGGCTTGGGCAAACCACAGACACAATAGTAGCAGTCCCCCAACAGCTTGATCCGCATGCATCTGTTCTTCCTAGCCAGCTTATCAAAACTGAAAAGAATGCATCATACGTATAACATGTTGAGAAATGTGTTTCACACTCTCTTATGGCTAATGAAGACTTATCTTTGAATCTTTCACATTGATTTCCCATTTGCTAACCCACAAGAGTTTTACAAAGTAAAGGGGGGAAAAGTAAAACATAATTCCTTATGTGTCAAGTAGTCAGCAGTTAAATGTATATCAATTCTATAAAATCAAATCACGTAAACAAAAGACGTTTTTCAACAGCAATGATTGTTACTGTACCTAAAAAATGATAAAACATTGTAACAATCGAAAGAATATTCACCTGCAATATAGGTCGTTCAATAGTTCCACCACGAACGATCCAGCACTTCGGTCTGCTAGAGAAGTGAAGCCCACAATATCAGCAAACAAAATACTAAACAAGAAACGATACATAATTGTCAATTATATTGCAAACAATGTATGTAATAAATTATTAAACACAATAAAAAACAATACCACATTATTTCCGTTTTTTAGAGAAAAGATTACTGAGACCGTTCCAGTACATGCCACTCTAAAGCAGTTTAAGGTGTTATAAATTTTGTTTTTGCTAGCTTGAAAGGGTTCATAAATATAGTAGGATTGAGAAAAATATTTCCCCTGTATTTCGGGACAATACGTATAGCATTAAGCTTCATAAAAGTCTTATTGTGTATAAAATAAATTGACAAATTAATTTGAATAATACAATGGAGAACCGGTTTAAAAACTAACCGTAGTCACAGAGAAAGTAAGGTACAGAAGAAACTTGCTTATGGGACGTTCGTGTGCTTTCAGCTCTGGTATGTTATGTGCGGGTACGTAGGCACTATACTTGTGTTGAGCAAAGGAAAGCTCGAGCAGCAAAGTTCCCATGGCATAGGGCATATGCCTTCCTTCAGCGTTGTAGTACATGATAGTGAGGGGGGAAAGGAGTGCGAAGGGGGTTAGGAAAACAGACTAGACACCAGCAACGATGGCGACTAGATTTATACCACTTAAGTGCAGCATTGAATGTTCCCTATATCTTCATCTCTGTGCTATAGTTAGGTACTATTTTCAATTCACCTGACGGGCTCGTAAGTCTTGATGTAAATCTTTCTTTTACTGATGGTACCACTAAGACGAGCCAAATCTGTCTTCATCTCCTCAATCAGATGTTCAGGCAGTACCGAAAGCAATAGATTTTGCTGGACAAAAGAAACAAGAGAATCTTCAAGAACAAAAACAATAAACGACCTTTTCAATAGTAAATGTTAAATTAATTAATATAAATTATCAATTATGTGGACACCACTATCCACCATCATAAGATAATTATTATGAATGGGTACTTTGAGTTATCTTCTAAACTGATTCAAAATCCACAATGATTTCCCTTTTTAGGATGATAAAGGTCGTATATAATGAGTTATGTAGATCCAACATTAGAATTAAAACAAGTTATTTGTTATTCATATTTCAGAAGAATATGAGTTACAGAGCTAAGTTTACTTGCCTTTCCCCAGCTTTCTAGAAATGATCTAAAATATAAAATAAAAGTGAGATAAAGATACAAAACGTTGTTTTTTTGAGAGATTTACCTGCCTAACAGTTTCCTTCTGAACGGTGATCTTGGTCCGAACATATTGGCGAATCTCTGAAAATGCCTTACGTTTCGCCATGTCCACGGAGGAGTGAGTTAGAATTCCGACCAAATTCACACCAAACAGTATGAGCAAGTTCAGTGCAGTCTAGGAACAAACATCAATGGTATCAGATCAATTTTTAAATAAAGAGTGTTCTGTTTTATTATTGCTATAAAGTTACACAACAACAAATATTTAGTCAATAGCCACTTTTGTGACATGTACAGTGTTCGTAGTAGCTAATATAGAGGGGGGACTTCTGTTCTAAGGTCTTTGTTATAATCACAGCATTTACAAATGGCGATTTACTATTTGATAATATTTCTAAGTATTGCTAGTTCAGTGTCAATTTTATATGTAAAGCCGACCACCGTGTAAACAAATGTCTCTTTGAGAGAAAATATTTGTCTCTAGTCTCTGTACACAAGTTGCCATTACAAAAAGCCATGCTCAGTAGATTTTAATACTTTATACTTAATACTTAATAATCTCACAGTTATTTAAACTATTGATTTTTGAACAATCTGAACAACCTCATTAAGATTGACGTGGGAGCTTGGCAAGACGACCTCTTTCTGGAAAGCAGGAATGTGGTTGATGGAGAGCGAGAAGCCAGCCAGGGTTGCTTCCAGAAGGCGTATTGGCAGCAGAGCGTAGGTGATGTAGACGAAGAACACTGTGGCCCATAAGTTGGCAGCATTGCGGGTCAGCGCCATCTCCTACAAACGTAATTAACTACTTTTAAAACATTATTGTTAAAACATAGTTACCGTAAATACAAAAAAATAGAATACCATTGAACTGAACATGTAAGTTAGTCCAAAGGTGAAGTTCGCTAAGAAACCCCCTGGCTCATATAGGTTAGGAGAATTGTGTGTGAGTGCCATTTTCAACAAAAGTATGAAAATGCTGTTGTTTGGGTACATCTAAGTAATTAATCTATGGGAAAGAAAACTGTTTTCAAACGCAAAATCTTTGGTCTAAAAGTTTCTGTTTTTGAAATAAAACAGGCTGGTTCTTATTCATTCATGTTACTATTTCTCAAAGTAAACATTTATCGCAAAGGTCAACAACAACAACATATAGTAGGTGTTATAACTACTGTATACACATTTTGACAAAGCCTTACCAAAACTAAGAACGTAGCTGTCATGCCATAGGAAATGTGTAACAGAAATGTTTCACTAGTCTTCTTGTGAAAAACCACTATTCCCAACAAAACTGAAACATGCAGCATATTTAAGATGAAATATCTGTAAATTATTATTTCCTTAGCCATGAAGTCCTATAGGTGTGGTTCATAAATTTTACGTAGGCAACTATTTTGAATTTTGAAACATTAAAATAAATAAATATAATCTATATTTATGGAAAACTTACATCATTAAATATTACAAAGGCTATACTATCAAAATTAGATATATATTGTTTACCTAAACAAAAAAAATAATTATTTAACCCTGAAGTAATAATTGCATTGGGATTTATAATTACAAAACTACAGATGAGAACAACTGGAGAATTTATGACCGTAGAGAAATAGTAAAGTGGCTTTGTGTATACATCCAACTATGACAAGTGAGGGTAGGGATTGATGTATGAGTATGGTACGTGTTCAATAGGAATAAATCTTGTTCTAGACCCTTAGATTCTTTGTTAAGCCCTTCAATTGGAATCATAGTTAGGCCTACTAATAATATTAAATAAATAACTTACTAGCAAACACAAATATACTGACAGACACAAAGAGTAAAGTTACTATACTCTTGTTGCGGTCAGACTTGCTGTGGGATTTTCCGGACGAAGAGCTGACAACGAAGATTAGGACGAGTCCGAGAAACATGACAAACAAGGAGGCGATCAAGAGGCCGAGCACATGGATCAGATGAATCTTGTTTGCCTGCAGCACGTATCTTTGAAACAGTTGCTCCATCTGGAATCACAGGAGTAAAGCAGAGGTATGATTAGGGACATGATGAACAAGAATCAAGAATCCCAGCATTTGATCAGAAACATGACAAACAAGGAGGCGATCAAGAGGTCGAGCACATGGATCAGATGAATCTTGTTTGCCTGCAGCACGTATCTTTGAAACAGTTGCTCCATCTGGAATCACAGGAGTAAAGCAGAGGTATGATCAGGGACATGATGAACAAGAATCAAGAATCCCAGCATTTGATCAGAAACATGATGAACAGAGAATGTCTAATCAAGAATCGCAACATTTCGGACAGATGAATCTTGTTGGCCTGCAGCACGTACTTTTGAAACAGTTTCTCCATCTGGAATCACAGGAGTAAAGCATGCGTTTGATCAGAAACATGATGAACAGAGAATGTCTAATCAAGAGGCCAAGCACATGGATCAGATGAATCTTGTTGGCCTGCAGCGCTGCATCACGTATCTTTGAAACAGTTTCTCCATCTGGAATCACAGGAGTACGGTATAACATGTGTGATCAGGGACATGATGAACAAGAATCCCTGATCAAGAATTCCAGCATTTGGATCTTGTTAGCCTGCAGAACGGTCTTTCAAAGAACTGTATTTTAAGTATTTCAATTCATCATAACGTTGAAATTAATGTTTGGAAAGGGTATTTGAAGAGCACTCATCAACAAACATTCAACACCATGATATGACAGTGTTTAAGTAATACTTTTAGCTTAACCATTATTAAAGTTAGCCTAACCTCCTTTCAAATTAAATTAGTAGTTTAATTTTTTTCATTTATGCAAAAAATCTTCCATTATTATCTATGAAATCAACCTACCTCATCAGTTTCAAAGCGTCGTCCTCTCTTGTATTCCTTCCAAATTCTTCTCCACAACCCTGGTCTTTCATACTCCATAGCTGAACCCTGGATAAAACTCCAATAACCTTATTCACAAATAATCAACTCAAACGCGGAAAAATCACAATCCTTATAAGCCCTGTCCACCACAACTTCAACAGTTAGTAATGCATTACGATTATAAAGGGTAAAATGAATGACCTATAATCACTGTTATTATTTTCAACTATATTTAAAATAATAAAATTATTTATTGTACATTCAAGAACCTAGCAAGGTTGTTCAAATGGGGTTATTGTTAGAGAAAATCCAAATATAAACAATGACAACAGCTGAAAATAAAAAATGTCACAGTAAAATAGATGATTGACTATGGATGTTAAATTAAAAGGCACGCCAATAATGACCATAGATTAAACATACTGACTTGAGTTGGTTAGTCTATTAATGCTATTATATAACTAAGATTTTTGTGGTAAGGATTCATAGTCTCAAAAACATTAATGTTTTAGAACAACCTGAAAAACTTCGTTGAAGCATAAATTTAATTGTTTCGACTAGTAAGTTTGAAGACAAATCAATGTGAAATAAAATTACAAATTGTTTTTTAATAACATTTTGTCTGCATTCTCTTTATGTTTATGTTGACTAAATCACATATTAAAAAATATGAGGCTGCTTTTGTATTGGGTTTTCAAAGATTTCAGACGTGCAGTTTCTATTGAAGACATTTTAATCATAGTCCTCACTATTTTTTATCGATAATTCTAACTAGTTTTGTTTTGGTGCTGCCTTACTTTCCAATTATTATTTGTAACCCAAATATACAACATTGACTTTGGATGCCATAAGTAGTCTCCTCATTATATTGTATTGTAAAACACACACCTTTGAGTGCAGTAAAATCGTACAAAGGTTTTTTCTCTAAAAAGTGATCAAGTAAAAAATATTATACATTAAAATACTCTCCAAATTATACCAGATATAAATATACTGCAGTTTTTTCTCTTTTTGGTACATTTTATAATAGAAATAGAAAAACAGATCTATTTGATTAAAAACTGATCAAGTAAAAAATACTAAACATTAAAATACTCTCCAAATTGTACCAAATATAAATATACTACCATATACTCTGGGCCTGATATGTATGGGTGAAAAATCTGCATGGGAGCAGATTTATATGCTTCAACGGTCTGAGTTTAAATTTTTAAACCAGTAGAACCCATGATGGTTTTAACCACTACAATACATATAACCTCAAATATAGACAAGGTCATTAATTACAGCACCATGTGTTTTCTCAGACCTGAGAGGTCATCCATAACCTTTGTTTACACCAGAAGCAACAAGATTGATGAAGTTTCTCACAGTTGATCACACAGATGAGTGGATGGAGTTATTGTCTAAATTATGTGGGAAATCTTCGTTATTAGTGAATACGATTGCATCTTTATAATAACAGTCAGCTTTCCACTACAATGTTTTAAGATTGGGAATAAAACTGTTATCTGTCAAACGGTTATTAATCCGTCAAGTAGTGGACAAATATTTTGAATCTGTTGCGAAATCAGCTTACACTACCAATGCTTATTGAATATGTAATTAGAGGTATTTTTATTATCAATGGATTCGCCATAGAATAATTACACGCTCTTTGTTTTTAAAGTATTTATTCTATAAAATAGAATCTGACAGAAAAAAATCTGCTGAGTCTCAGAGTGAAATAGCAAAAATTTAAAAGGTGTAAACAAAGCAAACTATTGTTAGTTGTCTTTACAAAATTTTGTATGTGAGTTAAATTGATTCAATGCCAACATTTTTCATACTAAATATAGAAGGCACATGCTTAGAAGAAACAATAGGCTATAGTTAAATACTTACTGCATCGAAAAGACATTTCGTACTAAAGAGATAAAATAGAATCGTGACTGAATTGAAGTTTATCTTTCATCCTGACGTATTATGATCCTCCCAGGAATCGCTGCACAGTAGACTTAGCAATGATAAATACTACCTTGAGCTTAAGCTAAAAATACTACACGAGTGGTATAGCTGCAGTTTATGGCAGATTGGAGACAGTTACATTCTAGTTTTGCTAGCTCCCTTAGAGCCCCTGCTTTTATGTGCTGGATATATTGGTTGGATTACATTAAAAAAGACGGATAGTACCGAAAGATCTAGACTCAGTACGGTACCTAATCGTGTGGCCGGTGAGGGAAATTTCTTCTTCTTCATTAACGCAGGAAACACGAAAGCGGGTCCTTGACTCTCCTCTTCAATTGAAAATTGGGAGATCGGGAATATTTGCTAAGTATATAAATGTTCAAATTTACTTAGTTATTTTCTGTCTATGTAGTCAACATATTTGCATAGTTTAAAAATGTATTCTTTGTTTAAAGTTAATTGTTGTGATGTTGAGTCAATGTTGTTCAAAGGTTTATTTATTGCGGATACGTTTCAAGCTCACAGTTTGATTGGATGTACTGTAAACTATACAAGATAGCTGTTTGCTTTTGCGGCATTATGCTAAATACATTGGTAATTGGAAGTATTTGAACCCGGAACCTTGTGGACTGAAGCCCTGTGCTATTATACCAGCTCGTATAGTATGAGTAACAAGTTTTGGGGATAAAAAGCATATCTGGATGCAGATATCGAAATGTGGATAAACTCAATAAGCAGCCAAGTGGAGTAATAAGCAGATATTGCCAATGGCTTGGTTATACCCGTTATACCTCTGTGGATCAACCAATATTTGCGTTCCAGATATATGCAGTGTGTGCTTCAGTTTGTTTGCTCGTTCCAGTTTCATATGGTGTGAAAACATAGTTTATGCTCATTGAATTTTGTTTGTTACTGACTCTAAGTTTTTTTTGGTAAAACTACTCTTTTGTCCGTAAAAGTGTGTGTTAAAGTGTGATTAAAACAATGAGATAATAATAAAAAAAAAAATGAAAAAAACGCTGTCTTGTTTGACATAACATCACAATACCGAATCACTGTACAGCATTAGAGGAATTTTCAACGTTTTAGTTGTGATATTGTGAACTAGAGTCCGAGATAGATTTAATGTAGAATTCTGTTGCATCATTAGAGTGATTGTTATAAGTCATTATTACATTGAATGTTGAAATACAAGAATAACATCGTGCCCACTTTATTTGGGTAACTGCCGAAAGAGAAATTGCTATAGGCCTACCACCAAAGACATTTGATTGATTGTAAGAGGGTGGACTCATGGTCCAAGCACGTCAACCGAAGCTTATTGTGCAACTAATCCTAAAGACATTCAGTGTTATATGTTTTTAGTGTTTTATTTAACACTCCAACAGACCATCATTATAGTTTGAGATCCACAAATACCCTCCCAGTTCCTAGACACCACACTTCCTTATTTCAAAACCATCTCCGATATAATGCAATAAAAATATTCAACCATCTTCCCTTTCACCTCAAAGCAGTATCAAACCATCTGAAATAAAAAAAACCTAAAATCTTTTCTTTAAAAAAAAGCTTATTACAGCGTCCGTAAGTTCCTAGCTGACGGCTAAAAAAACTATCAAACTTGTTTGATAATAGGTATTCTTAGTATAAGTTAAAAAAGACAGTTATTATTATTTCTTATTGAAATCAAGAAACTGTACGTTTTGTTAAATGACATGACCAATGAATATATATGTTACTAGCTGTACCCGCGGGCTTTGCCCCGTTTAACTTTATAAGTGAGCTCGTTCGCATGGCTCAATCACGTCCTGGTTGCAAGTTCGTTCGCTACGCTCACTCACTTTTGGGTTGGAGCTCGTTCGCTGCGCTCACTTGCCTTCAGGTTAGCTCGTTCGCTACGCTAACTCGCCTCCAGGTTGAAGTTCGTTCGCTACGCTCACTCACCTTTTGGTTGCAAATTAGCTGTTTTCATAAATGTAAAAGAAATAATAGTGCTGCACCCTGTAGAACAGAACCAACTTGTTTAATTGAAACAGCTGTTAAGATTCATTAATTCCATTTAAATATGAGTACTCATAAGGTTAACATGGGAAACTCCAGAGGCACTGGGGCGGAGCCCGAGAGTCCGCTCAGAATAAAAACAACTTAGTTTTCCTATTTAATGCCTTAAGAATCAGTGTACCAAATTTCAGC